AACAAGACAAAATGACCACAAAGAGACACAAAATGACTACAGAGACAAAATGAATACAAGGAGACACAAAAAGACTACAAGGAGACACAAAATGACTACAAAGAGACACAAAATGACTACAACAAGACAAAATGAATACAAGGAGACACAAAAAGACTACAAGGAGACACAAAATGACTACAACAAGACAAAATGACTACAAAGAGACACAAAATGACTACAGAGACAAAATGAATACAAGGAGACACAAAATGACTACAACAAGACAAAATGACTACAAAGAGACACAAAATGACTACAGAGACAAAATGAATACAAGGAGACACAAAATGACTACAACAAGACAAAATGACCACAAAGAGACACAAAATGACTACAGAGACAAAATGAATACAAGGAGACACAAAAAGACTACAAGGAGACACAAAATGACTACAAAGAGACACAAAATGACTACAACAAGACAAAATGAATACAAGGAGACACAAAAAGACTACAAGGAGACACAAAATGACTACAACAAGACAAAATGACTACAAAGAGACACAAAATGACTACAGAGACAAAATGAATACAAGGAGACACAAAATGACTACAACAAGACAAAATGACTACAAAGAGACACAAAATGACTACAGAGACAAAATGAATACAAGGAGACACAAAATGACTACAACAAGACAAAATGACCACAAAGAGACACAAAATGACTACAGAGACAAAATGAATACAAGGAGACACAAAAAGACTACAAGGAGACACAAAATGACTACAAAGAGACACAAAATGACTACAACAAGACAAAATGAATACAAGGAGACACAAAAAGACTACAAGGAGACACAAAATGACTACAACAAGACAAAATGACTACAAAGAGACACAAAATGACTACAGAGACAAAATGAATACAAGGAGACACAAAATGACTACAACAAGACAAAATGACTACAAAGAGACACAAAATGACTACAGAGACAAAATGAATACAAGGAGACACAAAATGACTACAACAAGACAAAATGACCACAAAGAGACACAAAATGACTACAGAGACAAAATGAATACAAGGAGACACAAAAAGACTACAAGGAGACACAAAATGACTACAAAGAGACACAAAATGACTACAACAAGACAAAATGAATACAAGGAGACACAAAAAGACTACAAGGAGACACAAAATGACTACAACAAGACAAAATGACTACAAAGAGACACAAAATGACTACAGAGACAAAATGAATACAAGGAGACACAAAATGACTACAACAAGACAAAATGACTACAAAGAGACACAAAATGACTACAGAGACAAAATGAATACAAGGAGACACAAAATGACTACAACAAGACAAAATGACCACAAAGAGACACAAAATGACTACAGAGACAAAATGAATACAAGGAGACACAAAAAGACTACAAGGAGACACAAAATGACTACAAAGAGACACAAAATGACTACAACAAGACAAAATGAATACAAGGAGACACAAAAAGACTACAAGGAGACACAAAATGACTACAACAAGACAAAATGACTACAAAGAGACACAAAATGACTACAGAGACAAAATGAATACAAGGAGACACAAAATGACTACAACAAGACAAAATGACTACAAAGAGACACAAAATGACTACAGAGACAAAATGAATACAAGGAGACACAAAATGACTACAACAAGACAAAATGACCACAAAGAGACACAAAATGACTACAGAGACAAAATGAATACAAGGAGACACAAAAAGACTACAAGGAGACACAAAATGACTACAAAGAGACACAAAATGACTACAACAAGACAAAATGAATACAAGGAGACACAAAAAGACTACAAGGAGACACAAAATGACTACAACAAGACAAAATGACTACAAAGAGACACAAAATGACTACAGAGACAAAATGAATACAAGGAGACACAAAATGACTACAACAAGACAAAATGACTACAAAGAGACACAAAATGACTACAGAGACAAAATGAATACAAGGAGACACAAAATGACTACAACAAGACAAAATGACCACAAAGAGACACAAAATGACTACAGAGACAAAATGAATACAAGGAGACACAAAAAGACTACAAGGAGACACAAAATGACTACAAAGAGACACAAAATGACTACAACAAGACAAAATGAATACAAGGAGACACAAAAAGACTACAAGGAGACACAAAATGACTACAACAAGACAAAATGACTACAAAGAGACACAAAATGACTACAGAGACAAAATGAATACAAGGAGACACAAAATGACTACAACAAGACAAAATGACTACAAAGAGACACAAAATGACTACAGAGACAAAATGAATACAAGGAGACACAAAATGACTACAACAAGACAAAATGACCACAAAGAGACACAAAATGACTACAGAGACAAAATGAATACAAGGAGACACAAAAAGACTACAAGGAGACACAAAATGACTACAAAGAGACACAAAATGACTACAACAAGACAAAATGAATACAAGGAGACACAAAAAGACTACAAGGAGACACAAAATGACTACAACAAGACAAAATGACTACAAAGAGACACAAAATGACTACAGAGACAAAATGAATACAAGGAGACACAAAATGACTACAACAAGACAAAATGACTACAAAGAGACACAAAATGACTACAGAGACAAAATGAATACAAGGAGACACAAAATGACTACAACAAGACAAAATGACTACAAAGAGACACAAAATGACTACAGAGACAAAATGAATACAAGGAGACACAAAAAGACTACAAGGAGACACAAAATGACTACAAAGAGACACAAAATGACTACAACAAGACAAAATGAATACAAGGAGACACAAAAAGACTACAAGGAGACACAAAATGACTACAACAAGACAAAATGACTACAAAGAGACACAAAATGACTACAGAGACAAAATGAATACAAGGAGACACAAAATGACTACAACAAGACAAAATGACTACAAAGAGACACAAAATGACTACAGAGACAAAATGAATACAAGGAGACACAAAATGACTACAAGGAGACACAAAAAGACTACAAGGAGACACAAAATGACTACAGAGACAAAATGACTACGAGGAGACACAAAAAGACTACGAGGAGACACAAAAAGACTACGAGGAGACACAAAATGACTACAAGAAGACACAAAATGACTACAAGGAGACACAAAATGACTACAAGGAGACACAAAAAGACTACGAGGAGACACAAAATGACTACAAAGAGATACAAACCAACCAAAACAGACAACACCACATCAGAGATACAAACCCATGAGGTGCAAAACAACTAAAGAAAGATGCAAAACAACAACAAAAGAGGCAAAACCACCACAAAGTCTGTGAGTCTTGTTCCTGTGAAGGACAGGTGGTGGGGTCCTTTGCATATCTTTGCCGAGGGGCCCATTGTCTCATATCCACCAATGCTATGTCCCCCAGCTTCCAGTCTTCATGCTAAGCTAGGCTAACCACGTCCTGACTCCACAGACATGCATCACAGTATCACATGTTTCACTCATACAATCTGCTGCTGTAACAGCCTCCACTCTTCTGGGACGGATTTCCACAAGATTTTGGAGCCGGGCTGCTGAGATGTGAGATGTGCACCCACTCAGCCACAGGAGCATTAGTGAGCTGTGGCTCTGATGTTGGGTGATGAGATCTGCTCATCCTAAAGGTGCTGGATGGGATTAAGGTGCTACACAGAGCACACATGTATCATGATCTCTATCTGTAAAAACAGATATAGTGAGAAAGCAGACTTGTATTCACATCAGCCTCCCTTAGATTGTTTGTATTCAGTGATAAGCTGGTGGGTGCTGTGAGACCAGGTTCTACTTTTGCTGGTATTTATAGAAGCTTTATAATCCTCCTCCACTCTTCTTACTGACTCTCCTTTTGTCACCAGCTCTCCTCCTCCTCTCTCTGTCTCTTATTCACCCAACAGAGAAGTCTCAGGTGGAGTCTGATTTCAGCACCATCATGTAAGCTACTCCGATTCACTCTCATAACCAGACGTCTTCATCAACCCAGCCTAAAAATACAAAAGCTGAGTGACACTTGATCTGCCGTGACTCAGCTGTTGGTATTTTCTTTAACTTACCTGGCTGAGGTGTCAGAGACACGATTTGGTTCTACTTTGTTCACCACGTCAAAACAAAAACATGTTTGTGCCGAGACTTTGAGATTTCTGCCTCTGCACCACCAAAGTGAAGGTGAGTTGTGTTTGTGCTGCTGAAAACGCTGACAATGAAACATGAAAAACTCTCTGAACCACACAGTCCTGGTAACTCTGGATAATCCAAAATCCTCACTGAGCAGTTTTTTCCGCAGTTCTTCCAAAAAATATGCCAAATGAAAGTGTTAAGAAGGTAGTCTGTGGATTATCCAGTGCAGCCAGAACAGTCTGTGCAAACAGCTAATTTACAGGCTGTGTGGATATTATCTGTACGACAGACAAACAGATTTGTGTTTGTGTGGCAGCTCAGGCTCTGACTGAACCAGAAATCCTGTTCTGTCTGTTATTTCCCTCCATTCTCTCTGAGTTTACCTCTCACTTCTGTATGTTCATGAAACATTGACATGTCTTCAAATCAGTTCCCATCTTTCCATTGATGCTTAGCGACACTGAGCGGTGCCGCTTCCTTGAAATTTTGACAAACCTCAATAGCAGTGGATTGTCTTGAGTCTATAGGCTAGCTAAAGTCCAGTTCAGACCAAAGATTCGTGATGAGACGAGTTGGAACAAACAACTTCTTGCAATGCGCCGTTCTGCAATGTTCTAAAGACCTACCAGTTCACACCAAGTGACCACCGTGAGACGGTGTATCATCTCTAGTCAACAACTCCCTGTGCTTCTGATCTGTAACGCTGACAGGAAGTGACCGCCATGAGACGGTGTATCATCTCTAGTCTAGGCAGTGGCAGTCACACAATGCATCACATCAACAGCATGTTCACTTCAACCCATTCCCTGTCTCACCTGAGCTTCCTCCCGCAGGTCTGTAGCCTCTTTGAGGGGAGCACTGGCCGATTTGAAAGTCTCATCCACCACCTTGATGCCGGTGTGCCTCAGCGTGACGTACTCCCGCCCTCGCCTCCCCACCCTCCTCACCGACAGACCTCGCCGCTGGGCCTTCCCACCTCCTCGCCGGTTGGTGATCGCCACGTGGACAAACAGGCTGGTGTGGGGTAAGGGGTCTCCCGCCATGCCCAGCAGGGGCACGTTGCGGTAGCCGGGCTGAAGGCACTCAAAGGCCACGCTGTACTGGCCGATGAAATCGTCTCCAATGTAGTCGTCGTCTAACACCACGAAGCGCAGCAAGGCCAGCTCTGGCATGTTGACCTGGAGACGAGAGGCAAATAGTTAAGTTGCTGCTAGGCACCAAAACAGAAATAAAACCATTGGTGACAGACATGTTCACAATGTTCTATCAAGACTCTGATTTTATTTGTCAAAGGTCCAGTGTGTTGGATTTAGGGAGAGACACTGGCAGAAATTACATAAAATAAGAATGTTTTCAAGAATAGTTGAACCATTTATATCTATGTAGTGAGTGGGAGTCAGCCATGTTGCACCGCCATGTTTCTACAGTAGCCCAGGATGGACAAACCAAACACTGGCTCTAGATATTCGGTTTTTGTCCTGTTCACTGTAGTTAGCAGCCCCTCTGTGACGAGCAGCATCGGAAAACACTCATTTTTAGAATGAAAGTTCTTCATTCAGGGGCCGGTCTAAATCACCAGGTCCGTTTGTTTTTTAGAGGAAGAGACCTCTGCCAATAATTCAATTTCAGAGAAAAACCTCCTGACAGTCTGGATCTTAAGTTATCAGACAAAAAGGTGATCACGCTTTAGCAGCTGCTGGGCTAGTTGCCCGTCTGCAACATGCCAAACAGCTTCGGAAAAACACTTATTTTTAACATGAAACTGCTTTATTCAGTTTTTTTTCAAGGGTTTTAATCAGTCTGTTGGTTTTGGAGTGGAAGAGACCTCTGTGGATAATTCAGCTCCTGTGAAAAACCTCCTGAACAATGAACGCTGAAGGAATTCTAACCAGGAGAAGTTTCAGCTGGTTGCAATGTGCAATCCTCACCACTAGATGCTACTAAATCCCCTAAAGTTTACACACAGTTCCTTTGAATTTGACAGAATCTGATTCTGATCCTGATTCTTGTTCTTGTTGACACCTGGTTTTGATTTAAATCATGAGACAAGAAGACAAACCTAGTTTAGAAATATATTGTTAGTATTCTGTGGTTCTTTTCGGTTCAAAGGCCAAATAAAATACATATATTAGTGACAAGACAAGCTCACATCAAGGGTTCACTTTGTGGTAGCTCTAGTAATTTTTTGGGGGGCTTTTGACCACATGATCTTCATCAGCAAACACTCAGATGATCAGTTAATGGTCATTCAGCACCTCAGTGTTGAATCTTGGCTACAATTTCATGACAGCTGAGCTAATTCTACATACTGATATACTGATGGAGATCCTGTGATATTAATGAAAGCCCCAAAGCACCTGACGAATGGATCTTGACCTGAGACTGTTTTGTCAGCTGCTGTTTCCAAGGTTGAAAATGAGGATAAACTGATAGACAGTACTCATTTGTCTACATATATATATAGTCATACACCATCAAAGCCCCTACTTTCCTCCCTAATGATGAATTCCTTGGAACATCAAACCTTTTATTTACTTCTCAGAACACACAGCGAGGCAGTAAATTGCTCTCGCCAGACGGAACAGACTCGTTCATTTGATTATCGAGGCTTTCAGAAGTTTAACGTTCTATCACCTGAGGAGCGACGGCGTCTGAATGTTTCTGTACATTTGATTCAGAGTCATCAAAAGATGCACTTCATTAAGTGTTAACAACGACAAAAAGATAATCAATTAGTCACAATATTCAGCGGAGAAGTTCAAACACCGTTTCCTGTAATAAGTGTCACTCATGAAGCTGCTGAGGCGAAGCGTTAATGTTAATTACACGGTACAGTGGAGCTGCAGAGGAGACGATTCTGGCCAAAATATTATGTTTCAGATCACACCTTCAGGGGATGTTAATGGCTATTAAGACCACACACACACACACACACACAAACACACACACACACACACACACACAAAGTAAGTGGGAGGATAAATGATGCTGGAGTGTGTGTCTGCATATTCATTCAGTGCAGTCAACAAGCTTCACAATAAAACATTATCAGCTAATGGCTGTTTTTTCCCCACACCCACACACACACACACACACACACAGAATAGATATCTGTGTTGTGTTTATAGCAGAAAGCACAAATCTATCAATTCCTACAGAGAATGAGAAACTTGCCCCAAGCCAGCGTCCGTTTGTGTGTGTGGGTGTGTGTGTGTGTGTGAGTGTGTGTGTTTTCTGTGTGTGTGCGTGTGTGTGTGTGCAACCACAACAATAAAACCATATGAAGTCTTGGGGCTCGGAAGGAAATAAACTCAAGCAGCACAGTTGAGACACTGATTCCCTCACGAATATTGAGACAACAGTTGGCATGAGTGTGTGTGTGTGTGTGTGTGTGTGTGTGTGTGTGCTCTGTCACATCTGTTTAATTCAAAATCCTGTTGTTTTAAACGTTACTGAGGCACAGCAGTAAAATGTTCTTCTGTTTCACTCTGAGGGGAAAAAAACTCACTTGTTGAGCCCAACAACAAAATGAGCCGAGCTGCTGTTTATTCACTTCAACATTGATATTCATGACAGTCAGGATCTGTGTCCCAACACAGGGACCACTGTCTTTGAAGGACATGTCCCACAAAGATGGACGACTTAGCCTTTTCCCAAGATGAGGCTGTCTAGACTCAGACAAGCTGAAACTAATGCAGCGTTACATTCATTCAGGCAGAGCAGGCAGAGCTGAACGTGCATCAGCTGATCGACTGAGAGCATTTCAGTGAAGCTTTAGAATCAGCGGCTCATTGAGAGATCGGCTGATTAGCAGCTGCCAGCTGACGAGTAGCATCCAATCAGTGCATACCTGATGTATTATCTGTCTACAACCTGTTCACATGACACATACACAGTTACTACCCTGCTGAGACTGAGTGTGTTTATAAGTTCTCCTGTCCAGTTATTGAAAAAATGGTGTCCTCATATGGGGACGATTTGCAAAGCATCCTTTGCAGTCAGGTGTGTAATCAGTGACTGAACATTGATGTGCGAAAACAAAATTGCAAATAACGCAACATTTGTTCAGTGTTTTGTAACTCTGCGCGGTAAGAGTCACTGTCCAAATATGAGGGGCCAAACACATGCCGCGTCTTTAACTGCCTAGGAAACACACAGTCGGGCGCTGCTCTTGTACCTGTCCTGTGCCAACTTCTAAGAGCGTGGAGGCAGGTTGCGTCTGAGGTTACTAAGCAACTATAACCAGCATCGTATCACAGCCTACGTACCAGAAATCCTGAGTGCAGAGCTGATCTTCTTCCTAGCCTAAAATATTGTCCATCTACAGTATTGACAAAAAATGCAACTTGAAGGAGAATCTCAACTTTATTTTCGTTATTTTCAAAAGAAAGACTTTTTACACAAACTTACAGGACGAGTTGTTGGAACAGCTGAGACTGTTCCAACAACTCATCCAGAAACTCAGTTTATCAGTTAGTGTTGTGCTCCAATAGTGTGGCCTGAAACTTTTTGGGAAAATGAAAATCCTGCAGACGCTCTGACTGCTGCACATGTTTACGCATGGGCTGGTTTTTTGGGAAAGCATCCTTTGCAGTCAGGCCTCCCTGAGCACTCGTCACCCATGCGGAAGGTGCTGGGTTCAAATCCTGCTGGGGTCAACGACAGCAAAGGCATGCAGTTGCAACAAGTTCCCACCACCGAATCAAAAGGGATGAGTTACCTTAAGGAGGCTTCATGATAATACAGTAACTCCAAAATTCTCAACGCCGGCACATCTCAAGCCTGTTGTAGACAGGAGGTATTTAGACCTACTTTGTCTGAACCTTTCAAACTACATCATGCTAAGTAGAAAAGAACCGGACTTAATACGTGCACATGCACAGCTAGGTTCAAGTGACTCAGATGAAAAAGTAATGGCATTTACTGCTGAAGATCGGGACATGTTACACACAATCTTTACTTAACCTAAAAAACAGGAAATTCTGAAAAAACTGAGAGCAGATGTCTCTGATGTGAAACACTCTGTGTAGCACAACAATGGTCTAATTGAAGAGCTAAAAAAGGAAAATAAAGCCCTGCAGAAGGAGGGTCATTCTGACTGATAATAATTTTGTGATACCGTGAAACTGCGATATTTTCTGACACGGATATCGTACTGTGAAAATGTCTTAGCGTTGCAACCCTATGGACGAAACAAGACATTTAAGGAGATCATCTTGGGCTTGGAAGGAAAGGAAAAATAATAATGAATATAATCATTAATTGCAGCCCTCTACTTCAATGGCTTTACAGATTTTCATGAAAAACTTTATGACTTTACTTAATTATATATTATGATTCATTACTACAGGCTAACCTAACTACCCAACATTAAAGTAGTTAAAAATATGTCCACCTCAAAAAGATAAAACATTGAAATGCTATCACTAACGAGATCTGTGATGCTGCATAGATTTACTTCTGATACTTTGAGAACATTCTGTTGACAGTACTTAAAATGCAGGACCTCAACTTGCAATGGAGTATAACTGTATTACTATTTCTACTTAAGTAAAGGATCTAATCACTGTGATCACCATTGTGCCTGAGAGCACCATGAAACAACTGAGCAGTTGGGCTGATGGCTGCAGAGGATACACCTGATGCATCCTCAGAAACTCAGACTGTGGATATGTGAAGAGGTGTTTGGTCTTGAAATGGAAAAACTGAACAGAAACTTCAAAGGAAGGAGCAGCAGACAGAGCCAGGGGTGGGGGGGACTTAAGGTCTTACACTGAGGAGGAAATAAAATCATACAGACTCAGATGCATGCAGGGCCGAGTTCATGGTGATGTTTCACAAAAATATAATTTATATAATATGAGTGTGAAGGAGAAGCTGGTGGTGATGGATGAAGGAGCAGAGAACATGTCACACAGACTGAATGAGGACTGAACTTCCCCTTGGGGTCAAACTGCACTATTACAAAGACTATACCCGTGTGTGTGTGTGTGTGTGTGTGTGTCCACTCCCATAAGCTGTGAGTGAGGGCTGAGTGGTGGGGAAAGAAGCTGGAGTTTCATGCATGGGCAAGCCAGCCAGACAGCTCCGGCAGACTGTGTGTGTGTGTGTGTGTGTGTGTGTGTGTGTGTGTGTGTGTGTGTGTGTGAGCCAAACGATGACTTCAATCCAATCCAAT